TCTGAGAACCACTTGGATTTGGCACGCTTCCCTACAGCACAGCACACCGATTCAGTCGCATCTTACTCACCTAGTGCTTTGCTGATCTGTTTATCCAGAATTTGCAACAAGGCACAACCTGGTACAACGCTATTCTAAGATCTCCACTAACTCCTAATGAACTCTAGTCACCTCTCCCACTTACCATTTGACCCAAGTATTTCCAAAGTACAACAAACTGCCAAACCAATCTCCTAAATCAGTTTCTAAAAGTGAAGTTCCGGTATGACTGGTGATATGGAAGAGGATGTTAGGTGGGATGCAGATTTTTTTTCCCTAAGAACTTTCTTTTTTTTTTTTCCCCAAAGTGAGCACAAGAACTTTCTATTTTAATTCAAGAGCATGGACCCTGGAACTGTATGGAACCCTAGCTTCATATCCCAGCTCTGCCACTGGCTAGTTTGTTATCTGCGGCCAGTTATTTAACCTCTGTATTTCCTAACCGTAAAATGGATTGATAATACTACCTATAGTGTTTACCTCATAGGGGTATCATGAGAAGTTATTATATAAAGATTTTAGATTAAAACTTAGCACATAATAAGCTTTATGTAAGTAGTAGCCATTTTTGTTGTTATTCATTTCAAAAATACTGTTTTTTCCATTTACATAGTGATATAATGCTTCCTTTAAAATCACTTTAAAAATGAGTTGATTTTAAGAATATTTAAACTCAATATTGGTATATAAGATACAAGGATATAGCAAAAATTGAAAGAGTGGTATGTGAATTAAATAAATAAATAAAAACTTGTAGCAGGGGGGAAAGCCAGAAGCTTGAAGAAGATGTTATTAAAAGCAAGGTGCCAAACGAATGCTACAGAAACCTGGAACAAGTCATGTCTCTCCTCTGGCCTTGATTTTCTAGTGTAAAATGAAAACATTGAGCCCTTTTGGCTCTAGGATTCTGAAGTCTACATATAACCTACATTTTCCTTGTTGTATTCAAAACAGTTTTCTCAACGGGTAATGACAAAGGTGGCACAGCTTTTAAAGACTAATCACTTGGGTGGGAAGAGTTTTCTTAAAAGTTGGAGTAGGGCCGGCCGAGTGGCGCGTTGGTTAAGAGCTGGCTTGGGATGCCAGAGGGCCCCGGTTCGGATCCCACATATGAGGGCCAGTGACACTGCCCTCCACAGCTAAGATGCTGAACAACAGCTCAACCTGGAGCTGGGCTGACAGCGACCACCAGGCATGGCTAGGCTGCAGTCCCTGCTGCAGTGGGTTGCCATGGGCTACCGTGAGTAGCCATCAGCCAGCATGAGCAGCCAACAGCCGCTGTGAGTGGCCGTCCAGAAGCTGGCAACTGATCTGCCTCGCCCTGGAAAAGCACAATGATGGTGCCAACTTGGGCCAGTGAAGCAACGTCCTCCACAACTAGACTGAAGAGCAAAAGGACAGCAACTTGTCTGTTCCCCTTCCCCCAATTCCCCAGCACTGTTCCCATCCCCCCAATTCCCCAATAAAAGTCTTTAAAAAAAAAATTAAAAAAAATGGGCAGAGGGGCCGGCAAAGTGGCACGTTGGTTAAGAGTTGGCTTGGGAGTGCCAGCTCTGAGCACCAGGGCCCCCGGTTCGGATCCCACATGAGGGCCTGTGATGCTGCGCCCTCTACAGCTAAGATGGTGAACAACAGCTCGACCTGAAGCTGGGCTGCCATCAGGTGCCGGCGATGGCATAGGCTGCAGCGAGGCTGCAGTGGGCTGCCATGAGCTACCGTGAGTGGCTGGCAGCCTGCGTGAGCGGCCGTGAGTTGGTGTGAGTGGCCGTCCAACTGCTGGCAACCAATCTGTCTCACCTGGGAAGAGCGCAATGATAATACCAACATGGGCCAGTGAAATGGTGTCCTCCACAACTAGACTGAAGAACAAAAGCACAGCAACTTGTCTGTTCCCCTTCCCCAACACTGTTCTCCTCCCCCAATTCCCCAATAAAATCTTTTAAAAAAAAATGGGCAGAGGATCTGAATAGATATTTCTCCAAAGAGGACCTACAGATGGCCAACAGATATATGAAAAGATGCTCGACATCACTAATCATCAGAGAAATGCTAATAAAAACCTCAATGAGATATTACCTCACACCTGTCACCATGGCTATCATCAATAAATCAACAAACAACAAGTGTTGGTGAGGATGTAGAGAAAAGGGAACTCTTGTGCACTGTTGGTGGGAATGCAAATTGGTGCAGCCACCATGGAAAACAGTATGGAGTTTCCTCAAAAAATTGAAAATAGAACTACTTTATGACCCAGCAATTCCACTCCTGGGTATTTATCCAAAGAACTCCAAAACACTAATTCAAAAAGGTATGTGCACCCCTATAATTACTGCAGCACTATTCACAATAGCTAAGATATGAAAACAACCAAAATGCCCATCAATAGACAATTGGATAAAAAAATTGTGGTACATTTATACAATGAAGTATTACTCTGTCATAAAAAGAATAAAATCTTACCATTTGCAACAACATGGATGGACCTAGAGGGTATTATGCTAAGTGAAATAAGTTAGACTAAGAAAGACAATTGCCATATGATCTCACTTATATGTGGAATCTAAAGAACAGAATAAACAAACAAAACAGAAATACTCATACAGACAGAGAACAAACTGATGGTTGCTAAAACGGAAGTGGGGTTGGGAGGGCGGGTGAGATGAGAAATGTGAAGAGATTAGGAAGTACAAATTGGTAGTCACAAAATAGTCACAAGGATGTGAAATACAGTATGGGGAATACAGTCAATAATATTGTAAAAACTATGTACAGTGTCAGATGGGTACTAGACTTATTGGGAGAATCACTTCATAAATTATATATAAATGTCTAACCACTATATTATACACCTGAAACTAATATAAAATAATACTGAATGTCAACTATAATTTAAATAATATAGTCACGGGATATAAAGTACAGCATAGGGAATATAGTCAATGGTATTGTAATAGTTATGTACGGTATCAGATGGGTAGTAGACTTATTAGGATTATCACTTTGTGAGTTGTGTAAATGTCTAATCACTATGTTGTCTGTATACCTGAAACTAATAGGAAGGAAGGAAGGAAGGAAGGAAGGAAGGAAGGAAGGAAGGAAGGAAGGAAGGAAGGAAGGAAGGAAAAAACAAGTCATCCCTAAAATATCACTGCTAAAATTACT